TCCCCTGTTTCAGTCTGAACCCATCACCCCTTGTCCTGTTGCTCCAGTCCCTGATGGAGGTCCCTCTCCAGCATCCTTGTAGCCCCCTTCAGACCCTGGAAGCTGCTCTGAGATCTCCACACAGCTTCTTTTCTCCAGCCACCCCAACCCCCTTCACCCCTGTGAGACCCCCTTTGCTCCTCTCCCCATGGTACAAACTACTCATGGCTTTGGGGCTACGCACTCGCTTTGGCTCCTTTAAATCCACACCTTAAAGGGCAAGAGAAAGTCAGGTTCCACCATCAGGGCTCAGCAGAAGAGGAGTCTTGTTGCAACACGAAACTCTTTGGTCAGAGAGAAAACCACACAGGGTGACTGCCTCTGGTGTTTATTGGGGTGGGCCACATGCCAGAGGAGAAAGGCTTAAACAAACAAGCACAATGGTTCCCATGAGCACAGAGAGAAGGTAAAACCCTGCTCAAACCTGAGCATTTTCCAACAGCTCCTGAAGATCACATAGGGAAAGTGCTGGAATGTTGCTGAGGAAAAGCCAACCCTAAGTCCTCAGGTGGGACCAGTCACTGTGAGGAAGTTGTTGTTGTGGAGTTCAAGCCCTGGGTGATGAGTAGCACCGGTTCCCATTGCACCACATCTGGATCCAGCACAAGATCTTGACACAAGTCAAGTCCGAGCAGCGCATGGGCTGGTCCCTCCACCTATCGCTGGTTGGTGCCTCCTGCTGCTTCACAGCCTTATCCCAACGTGTCTGGTGAATGGGCTCTGCTCCTCAGCACCCGATGAGCAGCAGCTTCACAGTGTCTCGAGGGGAGCAGCAAGATTCTCCCAAACCCCCCAAGAACCTGGTCATCAGCTGGTGGATCTGGACATGTCCTCCTTCCCTGTGCAGCTCCTGACGGGGGTGGTGGTGGTGTACAGTGAAGGAGGTGGCCACCACCTTGGCAGTGAAGGGAGGGGGTGATGATCATCATGCAATTTGCTTCCTTTCTCCTTTGGGTGCTGGGGATGGGGGTTTGGGGTAAGTTGCTTTTCTAGAGCCTCCGGTTGACAGACATGGAGCTGGTGTTCTTCTTCAGGATGGTGGTCCCAGACCCCACCACCACTGAGTTAGCGCCTCCTCCCATAGAGCAGAATCCTGCCCCCCCTCCGCATCCAAATCCCCCCCCAGCACCGAATCCCCCCCCAAAGCTGACGTTACAGCTGTTTCTCCCGCTTCCAGCACCGAATCCCATTCCTCCTCCTCCTCCAAGGCACATTCCGCTGCTGCCGTATCCGCCTCCCATGGAGCTGCTGCCACCTCCCACCACGGCTGCAGAGAGGAACAGAAGGCACGAGGTTACCTCTGATGCCACCGTAAGGGTTTGGAGCGTCAATCCCAGCCCTCTGTGCTCCCATGGGAATGCTACTTACAGATGCTCACGTTGCTCTGGCACTCTCCAGACATCCTGCAAGGAAAAGAGATGGAGCGTCAGCTCCAGTCCAGCTCCATGGAGCCAGGCTTGGTCCATCAGACCATGGGCATAAACAGCAGCTACAGGACCGTAGCCCATGGCTGATGGCTTCCTGGAGGAGATGGGGTGTGCCAAACTCTTCCCCTTGCTT